TAGACTATAAGGACCTAAACTGAAATTCTTTTTAAAATGTGTGAAATAGTTTTTTAAAACACTTATTAGCAAAAGGTTAACATTCTTTTTTTCTACTGGATTTTATGTAGCCTTTTTGGGAGTTTTCAATAGTAATTAGTTATCTACGGAGATTAACACATGATATAGCTACACTTTGAACTATGTTAAGTCAGTGGTAGTGTTTCAGCTGGGGAAATGTTCTGTGCTAATATTAGAATCCGGAGAAGATCTATTTTTTTTTTTTTTTAACAGCCATTTCAGTGACATTTGTTTGGAAGCATACTGCTGCTATGATTTTTTTTTAATTCTTTTTTCTCTTTTTTTCTACAGTCCTCTTTTATCTAAACATAAGGTAAGAGATTGTTTCTTTTGAAAATATTTATAGGAAAAATGTTTACGTCCTGAGTCTGTTGTATGGACCATTTTAGCAAATAAAAAGAACTTTCAAGCTATTTTCAGCGTTCTAATTTAATCAAACAGTTTCCAAAATAGTTGTGGTTTTTTGTTTTAAACTTTTTAGATAGCAGCTATAGAAAAGTCCCTGGGAAGGAAATGCCTTACTCAGTTAATACTGTCTGAAGATCCAAAGGAAAGAGGAGCTACAGCCAAAGAGTCAGGTATGTTTTCAAGTTAAATTAGGGAGAGATATAAAAGATACCTGGCTTCTATGATATTTTATGAGTTTGCATCAGAATTGTTCTGAAGGATTTTTTTTGCATTTGCATTTTCTTAGGTATACATCGTCTAGAAAAATAGCAAAGGAAGATTTTTTAGGTTGTGTAAGTCCATTTTTAGACATCTAGNAGCGCCGCCGCGCTTCCCAAGCGGCGCACTATCCAGTGCGCCACCGGGCCGGCCCTGCATCAGAATTGTTCTGAAGGATTTTTTTTTGCATTTGCATTTTCTTAGGTATACATTGTCTAGAAAAATAGCAAAGGAAGATTTTTTAGGTTGTGTAAGTCCATTTTTAGACATCTAGTAGTAGATAAACATCTAAATTCTTATAAAAACATAGTTAATTCCATGTTTTTAATAGGGTTATAGGTATCTAACAGAATACGTAAAGATTGCACAAAATGCTCTGAAATAGAATTAATTTTGGTGTATTCAGACATCTTTTTATGTTAACAACTATTATATGGACTTTACCAGAAATTTGTTCTGTAAATCTAGAATTTAAAAGTTCTGTCTTGATAATTTATCTATAGCAACTTATTCTCTTCCCTTTTGTTGACTAACATATGAAATACTTTAATTTGTGTATATACATTTCTTAAACATTTATGTTGTATTTTATACCACCTTGTGCCTTATGTCAAAGATTTTTAGAAACTTTTTCTAGATGTTATTACTGATTTATATTACTGGGCCTGGGAGCCCTGATATTGAAGAGGAGGTATCAGGTATTGGGTGAGTTGCCCTGAAGACATAAGATGGTGATGATGCTGTCAATTTAATTAGCCTTTTCCTCATTACAAAGTACTTTTTTATTTTTTCAAATCTTCTCCTCATCTCCTTTTCTCCTATGAGGCAAGTTAGGGATATTGCCTTTGGTCAATCCTCCTATACTGTGTTCTTCCTGTCTCTTCCAGTCATTTTTTTTTTTTTTTTTTTTT